TTTTCAAGTAACTTGATATTAACAAATTCTTATATCACGTATAATTATTTTATATTTCTATTGTACTGTAATATGCAATCACATATCAAGATGCACAGTTTTTGAAGACATAAAATTTTTTTGACAATATCAATCCAGCAAAAAAAGACTATTTCCATTCAAAGTGCTCCATAGTTCTAACTTGGAGTGATGTTAAACAGTACTTGCCTTTTATACTAAGAGAAATATGTGATTCCATAATACCTTCATTAAGATGCAAAGAAGTAGACTAAGCTCCTATTTGGTGGGTATTAAAATCAAATTTTTAGTGAATTTTGATAAAAGTTGATGAATTGTGTGGTTAAAAAGTTGTGGATCTCATAATACATGTGATTAAAATTAAATATTGACTTTGACTTAGATTTTAATTTGCACCGAGCAGAGACTAAAATCAATTCGAGGGACATTCCTTTTATAAATAATTAAATCGGCAACTAATTTTCTTCCTTCCTATTGGTCAATTTAATGTACAGAACTTATGTCCATTATCTACAATTGCACTAACTTGTGATCTAGATAAAACAATAAACCAATTCAACCACGACGTACAAGATTAATGATATATATCACAAAAACCATCTTCATGTAGTTGTGGAGGATCAAGTATAATTTATTGCATTTAGGATTTATAAAAAAAATAAAAAATAAATAAATATGACATCAATTCAAAATGGAAAGAAGAGAAATAATCATTAATGATGACAAATCCTACTACAGTAAAAGAGAAGTTTATTTACAATGTCTGCAAATCAGTCACTTACATAAGGTATCATATGCTTAATATTGTGTATAAATTATGTACCAAAAGAAGCAAATTTCATAGCATGTAAAAAAATGGATACAGACACAAAGTAGCAACACCTTTCAGAGACATTTAGACGATAGTGAGATTATAATAAACAAACCTGTTGTCCAAAATTGTATGTTGGGATCATTGAACCACCCCATGATTCAAATCGATATATATCCAAGTAGTTTTTCTGGTCAATACGAATCAACCAAATAAGTTTTTAACAAGAAAAAAGGAAACCATCATTGAACAATCATTAACACATTTGTCCAACTGCTTGAATTTAATTACATATTTCTACCTAAATATGGAAATTCCTTGTTAAGTTATGTTATGAATTTTCATAGGAGGTGCTGGACCACTTAATCTAAATGCTTAGCTGTTAAAGAAGGTCATGTTTATATCATTTAAATCTTATATTTGACAAGTCCCCTCACATGTAGGCTGATTTCATTATTTGCCTATCAAAAGTCTGACACTTCCACAATTTCATTAAACGGGTGATGGCCAGATTTAAACTCGAGACCTTTGCATGCTCTATCCTAGGTTGAACCACTAGATCTAAAAGTTTAAATTGTTGGCCACGTGTACATCATTTAAATCCTATCTTCAATGCAAAGAAACACGGACTATAACAATGCATTTCATGAGATGGAGTATATATTAGAGCTAGTACCCAACATTCTAATTAATGTCTAGTAGCATAAGTTTGCTTGCTTGACAAAACCAATGACAGAGATGTCAAGGTCAAAATTCTAAACCAAAACTTATTAGTAGCGTGCTTATTTCATATTCAGAAAGAAGAAAGGCAGACACGCAAGTCCTAAACATCCTTCCATGATTTATTTTGATGAATATTATTTCTGTCACTTCTAAAAGTTCCCATTTTCAATCAAGTTAAACACACTCTCTTGCCTCTTTGTGAAAAAATTGAAATATAAAGAAAATATTAAGAGCCTCAGCTAAGGAACATAAAGAAGCAGAAAACACAGTTTTTTTCTGAGATATGTACTTCTCAAACATATCACCATACTATCAAAATTAACAAGAACCAAGGGGCAAATCCAGCAAGTCCATAATGAAAGGAAGCAGGCTTCAACTGGAGACTAGGAAAATAGATTGAAAATCTAAGTTACAGAATAAAAATCCTAGTACTCTTTCCCTTCTGTTCATGGGCAGAGTTAAATGAACACTCTTGCTACAGAGATGGTTTCATCTCTT